AGATTCCACCATGGAGTTGATTACCAGTCTCATCATGGGGAATACTACATCCAGCTGCCCAGCCACTCAACCAGGCCTAGCCAAGTTGACACACAAACATTACCATCACATGCATTTACTTTTGTGATGTTTCTGTTAAATTCTCCCCCCACCCCCAATTGGACTGTTTGTCATTTTATTGTTGATTTGTAGGTGTTCTTTACATATTCTGGATATAAGCACTTTGTCAGATATGTGCTGCGAACATTCCTTTTCTGTGGCCTAATAATTTTATTAATGAATTCCAGAAAGCGCACATGGAAAGCATGAAGGAGAGGTACTATATTAAGAGATAATGGGTAAGTATTTTTCACCACTGATGAGAAACATGGATCCACAGATCCAGGAAACATAATCTGCCCCAAGAAAGTTAGTTAATATATATAAAACAAGAGAGGGTCACGTGTGGATTAATGATTGCACTTCATTAAGCAAAGATTCTCATTAATCCATTCTGTGGCTCTGCAGTCAGCCTCCCCCAGAAAAGATGTTTCTAACCAGGGCCCCAGAAGAAACTGAAATGAGTGGGAGGGTGGTAACTCAGTTTTCACTTTTCTCTTCCTGTTTTTTTCAGAGCCTGGGAAAGCAAGTCAGAATTTCCAGTCTTTTCCAATTCCCAAATGATTCCTTAATTTAGAACCAGAAAATTTTAGTTTCGGAGAAAATGAAAGTCTTTCGACCTCTGGAGAGGGCTCTAGAACACTCCGTGGACCACCGTTATTCTAGAAAGAGATGGTCTGGGGTCAGGGGTTGCGGAGCCCCAGTCCACTACTCCCACTCAGCTCGCACGCGCCTTGCGCTTGGTTAATTAGTGGAAGTACCGCGCCGATGGCCGAGGCTGGACCCTAGCTGGGGACCCTGGGAAGGCGGGCGAGGGACGTGACCTTGTGGCTTCGCGCGGTCGCTAGCAAGACGCAGGCGCACAGTCGAGGCTCAGAGCTGTACCCCTGGGCGCCCCCTACCAGCCACTGCCTCAGTCTGGGTGTATCCCAAACAGGCCCTTGAGCTGAGGGACGCCGAGCTCCGGTCCCACCGGACCCGGCCCGCCAGCGCGAAACACGCGGGCCTGCGCCTTGGCTGAGCCGCGCAGCTGCACTGTCAAGTGTGGGGGTCCGGGCGCTCTCGTCCCCCAACTGCATCTGATTGAGGTGGACAGGAAATGAATCAGTGTTTCTGAAGCAATAACCATCAAAAGTCACCTTTAACGATGAGAAAACCTGGGTCGAGTGCTGCCACTCGGCCCTCGCGGGCGAAGCAGGCCCAAGCCTTCCACGGTGCGGGCGGGCGGGCGGCCGCAGGCCAGCAGCCCGGGCTTCGCTCCAGACCGGGACCTGGGTGACATCACCGACTCCTCCGACCGGCAGGAGGGGGCCCCGAAATCCCCTAAAAACATTGTGAGTAATCGCCAGGCCCGCCTCCAGGCGGGGCCGGGCCTCGGGGGCGAGCGGATCCGCGGCGCAGCCTGGGGAGCAGCGCTGGGCGTGTAGCCTTCTCCTTCCCCGCGCGGCGCGCACTGGTTCCCGGCGCCGGCCGCGCGCGCGGCC